GGAGGCGAGGGAGGCCATCGGGGTGGGTGGGCGGCCGGGGTGGGGCTGCGGCTGCGGCTGAGGCTGAGGCTGGGAGTGGTGGGCGATGTAGTGGTGGTGGTGAACAGGGGGGCCGAAGCGGAGGCCGTTGGAGGGACCGGGACGGCCCGTCAGCGTCGCCGTGCCGCCCTGAGACTGGAGGGAATGCGGCTGCGTCTGCGGCTGTTGCTGGGAGTACTGCTGCTGCTGTTGTTGCTGCTGCTGTTGCTGTGAATACTGCTGCTGTTGATGGGGTTGGGGATACTGTAGCTGGTGGTGCTGTTGCGACTGCGGTGTCTGTTGATTCGGATACTGCTGATGTTGGTGCAGTTGCTGATGCAGTTGATGGTGCTGTAGCGACGGCGGTGTCCGTTGTTGGGGTTGTGATTGCTGCTGTGGTTGTGGCAGTTGTTGATGCGGGTACTGCTGCTGTTGATGTTGGAGGTGGTGGTGCTGTTGCGAGGGCGGCGTCTGTTGTTGCTGCTGTTGATACGGCTGCTGCTGTTGTTGCTGTTGAGGATACTGCTGCTGCTGTTGCGGCGGAGGCGTCTGACGTTCCTGCTGTTGTTGTTGTTGCTGTTGCTGTTGTTGTTGCTGTTGCTGCTGCTGTTGTTGAAGCATCTGCTGCCGAACACTGAAGGGAGCTGGAATGTTTGGCGTCATGCGAGGCTGATCTACCGGTCGTGTTGAAACCTCCTGCATGGATGTCTGTGGGTGTATAGCAGGCGTTACCGGAGAAGTCGCGGGCGGAGCTGCAGGGGAACTCCGCTGGGGAGGCATCGCGGGTAATGGCTTTGACAAAAGTGAAGTCTGTGGCGATGTAACGGATGACATGAAGCCTAAATGGTGGTGGTGGTGAACCATGAAGGCATGCCGGTGCTGCAGAGGCCCCTTGGCAGCCGTTCCAGAAGACGGCGCGTCCTTTGGTGGAATATTCTGGTTGCTGGGCGAAGACAGCGATGACATGGTGTTCACAGAGGAAGGCACACTCGCACCTGTGCTGTTCGCGCTAGTAGGGTTAGGCTGCCCTAACGAGGCGGCTGCGGAGGCGGGGGTAGCTAAGGAAATGGGGTAAGGGTTCTGTGCGATAAAGTGATGGTGGGTCGGGTATTGTTTCCCGTGTGCAGCGGAACGGTTTGGCGGTGCGGTCAGTTGATGCGGATTGCTAGACATCGAGGATGACTGAGTAGGGGTTTGCAACATCGCTACGCACGATTGACTGGCTGGGGAAGGGGTGCCGGTCGGACTGGCATTCTCCTTGCTGATATGGCTTAAGGTGGGATTGCTCGCTTGGGGTACCGCGCCATGATTGGCGAGAGGTGCCTTCTGTATCTCAGCATCACTGCTACTGTGTCCTCCAGTTCGACCCCCAACATCGCGAGACTCCCGCGTCGCCTCGGTGGGGCTCACCTCTTTGATTGAGCTTTTGTCATTGGAACCACTGTTATCAATGGGACTCGATGTGGGCTCCGCAAAGTGCGAACGATAAGACGACTTCTGCCACTCCGCCCCGTCCCCCACAGGCTGTCGGTAGTCGCGATGGGCATTGCCCCTGCGAGCCGCACGGATTGAGTTCTGTGCTGGGATCTCTGCACTGTACGTCGTCGCACCTCTCGGTCTATTGATATAGGTTTCGGCATACTTTACGAGTGTTGTCAAGGTGCTGACATCTAGAAGCGAGGTGAAAAGCATAGCATCGTTCGCTATACGACTAATGCATTCAACATATAGTTGAGTTTCCTCGTTAAATTCGTTGACAAGGATGGAGGAAAGCATACTCTCCAGTTGTGCGCGGTAACTTGCGTAAGGAACTTGCTTCAAAAGACTAGCCACGATTAGTTCATAACGTATACAAAAGTAGTGGTACATCTCCTCCACACTGCTGTTAACAAGACCACAGCGATATACGTAGGGCTCAAGAGCAGGTGCAAGAATACCAAACCTTTCTCGGAGGTGTTTGACAACATCTGGAATATGAGCGTCTGCTTCCTCTTCCGCCGTTTGCCCCTCTTTTTCGATGGAAGATCCCTCTTCTGCGAACTTGGTCTTAAGATCCTCGCTAGCTCTGGAAGTGGAATGCCTCTCCGTTTGGGATTCATGTAGGCTAGGGGTGTCTTCAAGGACAATCCCATCCTTTCCCCCATTCGCATTCGAGTCCATATCCTTGTTGTTAATTATGGCAAGTGACTTTCTAGTTCCTAACACGGATACGTGTTGAATTGCTCCCCCTACACACCTTTTTGTTGCGTATTACCTTTTTTGTGTACGTGTCGCGATATTAAGCGTCACAATTTCAAAGGTGAAACACGACAAATAATGGTAGGTATCAGTGATTTTTGTGGATCAATAGTCTATATCTGAAAATAAGTTCTCCACTTATTGATATATCCTTCTATGAAGGGAGCTATCGATATCCCAGGAAAAGAAATAGTTTTCTCAGGAGCGAGTATACTTTCGATGAAAATAAAGTGATCTAATGAACCCTTTTTCGTTTACGTGTTTAAACAAAACAAAATAAAAATAATTTTTTTATCAAAAAAATATTCAGGAGACCAAATCTAAATGATTTTATTCTACTTTCAGCTACCGCATGAAGCAAGAAAGATCAGAAGAGAAAAAAAGAGAGGTAGGCTTCTTTTATTCATCACCGCTACGCAGAATCCTTTTTTCCCGCGGCAAAGAAGATTTGCAATAGCCGTCAATCATTAGGATTTATTTTAGGAAATTTCATTAGTGCCCATGAGTGTGTAATAAATCGACTTAGCTAATATTGATCAATTACAATAGATTGCTCTTTATTGTGTCTAAAATTACAATAAATTTCAGAATTCAACTTGACAAAACTTTTTTGACATCTTCAGGGGGAGTATGTTTTCCCATATAAACAGAGACATTTTTTTTCAGATAAGTAAGAAGATACCTTTCCACAATTAATAAATAACACAACCCCCAGAAAAAGAAAAAAAGGAATACACGTAACTACGAATAGCTTTAAAGGGCACCACTTCAGAGAAAGTGAAATTGCCCCAAAGTAATGGCATGGTAAAGAAGACGCGTATCAGCATTAGCTAATATTAATTTAAAATAAATTCAAACTAAATGGGAGAAAGGAGTGGGAACACACTTCCTCATCTCTTTCCATCCATCCAGTTTAACATACATTCAAGTAAGCCCATTAGTGTGGCTCGTCCCACGAGCGAGCCATGTTGAGAGCACCATAAGTCATCACATGGCCACCCACTTCAGCCTGGGGCGATGCCTCGCCTGCGTTGCCCTTGGATTTGGAGATTTTCTGCGACTTGCTATTTCGGAAAAAGTTCATCAATTTTTGGTCGATGTCTTCGACAGGCTTCGACAACACATCCTTCTTCTTCCGGTTTTGCCGCGCGAAATATTGCACGGTCTGGAAGGAAGAATCCTTCGAGGTTGAGGTCTCCGCTTCATCCTGCTCGTTCAGGGCGAGGATGTTCTTCGGGAGTGCCTTCACCTTGTGGCGGCCCTGCTCGCTTTCTAAGATTTCCGGCTGGAGCCGCTTGGTGTCGGCGCTCATCCCAGTCTGCCGGCTACTTCTGGCGATATCCCGTGCTATAAGGGCTTCCATCTCAAGATCCAGAGCCTGTGCGGCAGATTTTTCACTCGCGGGCTTCTTCAGGCGAGATTTTCGCGTAGTCTGTGCAATATTAGGCACGTCTAACACCTTCACATCCGCACTACTGATCCCTTTGAAAAGTACGAACATGATGAGGATTCCCACAAGGGCAACAACAACCGGCACAAGATTATCCATTGGAATGTGTATGTTTTTGATACTTTACAAAACTAATTGAAAATCACTTTAGAGTAAAGGAAAGGAAAAGCGATAATAATCACCAAAAGGAAAAAATACTTGAGATGCGCGAGAAATATGTTAGATATACTATAAAAAAAATTAAAAACACGTACATGCAAGCAGTTCTCCCCCCGAGATTCAGTTTAGTAGTTTACAACGTTCTTAAAAACGCTTTCTGGGATTTTGCCCTCTCCCATTTTATCTAAGTTTTCTTCAAAAACTTACGATGGAATGTCTCTCGCATTAAAACCGTCATTTCAAGCGGCATTGAATCGTTCTGATTTTACAAAATACTAAAATGAATTTATTATTTAGAATCCCAACATTGAAAGTAAACAGTCTAAGGCCACCTTATTAAAGCTCACATGCTGATTTTTTGATCATTTCTTCCTTTTTGAAGAATTCTAAAAAGCAGGGAAGCGGTACGAACTTCTTTTGGATATACAAGTCGTATATTATTAGGTTTTATCATGACAAGATAAAAATGAAACCAGGAATGGTAGGAAAGAACATTCGGTAAACGCGTTGAAACTACTATCCCCGAGAACGTACTCTCAACGCAAGCTATTTGAAAAGCTCTGAGGAGTATGCGTATCATGGGTAAAGCATATTTACATACTAACAACAAACCTTACATTATCGATTTACAATAATAATGAAATAAAATTATCACTCATCTCTATTAGATTGGTATCTGAACGAGTATAATAATCTCACATTATTGATAATCCCATCAAAGCACGCGCGACTTTAAACAAATCCGTAAGCTTCTCATGGAGTCTTCGCATTGTAAAAAACTCTAAAAGGAAGGAATAAATGGAAGTCTTAGTTGATCCTTAACATGATGGATACGAACTTGCTTATCAAATATTAGTTTACCCGAGCTTCAAGGTTCATTTGGTGTACCTCTCTAGTTTTGATAATCAAATACCCAAATTTAATATGCACTCAGAATTCTTCACCTTCTGCTTCACTGCCGATGCCAACAAAAAATTATTCCGCCGCACCCCGTGAGTGAAAAGAGGCAAGTACAAATCCAAAGTGTCGCTCGCAGGGAAGACGCGGCGAAAACCACCTGCACAATGCATCTCTTCCTCGGCCTCAATCAGCATTAATACTTCCGCCCTTGAAAGCATCGACTCTTCCACGTTCGGGTCGTTAAACCGTTTTAACAAAGGAACGCGTTTGATATACGAAGAAGCAGCTGGATGATGACCAAATTTGTAGATCCTTTCAGGGGTGGTCGGAGCCGCACCGCGGGGTACGTAATCCTCGCCCGGTTCGTGATCACTGCCATTTTCATTGGGTTGGTCATCCAAGGCGTTTCGCCGATTCGGGATTACGCGAATTAGCGTGAGCATGTGCGCTAACATGCGTGACTTCACCGCTTTGTCGAGATTGCTGCCAGTCGCCAAAGAAGGCATGATGTTCATCTCAATGAGCCAGACCTTCAACCTACTATCCACCAACAAATCTATGCCGAACAACTCAAAACAGTTGCGCCCCGTCTTATCCAAGCAGGATTGCCGGATGCGCTCAATGACGCTGTTTTCGACGCTCAAAAAGGCCTTCACAACCGTATCATCACAACCCCGCTGAATGGTTTCCCACGCCTTGATCCCGTCGGGGTGATTATTCATGAGGTACTTTTTGAGATCGGAGATACACCATTTGATTTCAATCGGGTCTTCGCTTTCCAAGCCCTTTTCGCCGGTTTGGCGCTTGAGCTCCGCTGTTTTGTTGATGGAGTAGTTTGTCAGGTGCATGTTGATGTTGTCGAGCTCCTTATCCGATCCCGGGTACTTCATCGCCGCGAAGCGAACAAGGCCCTCGTCGAAGAGGTAAATCCGAAGCGGGTCGAACGAGGTGACGACGCAGTACAGCCGCAGGTCGAACTTCCTCCCACTAATGAGAAGCGGATCGCCGATGTAGCGCTGGCAAACAAACTCCTTCAGAAAAACCGGCATGGGGGGAACGCCCTTGTGGAGCGTGATCCCCCGCCCACAGCTCGACGCACAGGGCTTGACGATATAAATCGGGGGGTTCTCCGCATCCCCCCTGTCGCGCGCGGCGTCCTTCTCCAGATCGGCTTGCTGCCGCGGAATCCAAAAAGAAGGCGGGGTGATGCCATAGACCTCCTCCCCGTGGTAGCGCTTCATCATGTTGATGTTCACCGCCAAGTTATCCTTCCGCCCGAGCCCCCACGCGCCGGGGAAGTGGTTGACTTTCTGATACGGCGTGAGCGATTCCAACGTGTAGGGCGTCGCCCGCTTCGCCCAGAGGATGTTAAACAACTCGTTCGATTTCGTGTATTTCATCCCGGACGCCTCGAACGCGTTGAGGACCACCGCAAACGCCACCGCGGTGGGGCCGATTTTGTACAACGGCATCCGATTCAGGTTGTTCTTCTGGATCGCCACACTGGAAAGCCGGAGGTTGGCGCGGTCGTTGGGGTGGAGCTCCTGGTTGATGGCGAAGGGGAGTCCGCGGGGGTCGGCCCCCTCACGCGTGCTCGGGCGCCCGTAGTGAATCGGGAAGAACAAACTCGCG